ACCGACCGAGGGTCTAGACTTTTGACTTACGATCCATGGTACGTACAATCAGCATCTGTGCCGATGTCGCGCAATATCAAGTGGTGAACAAGTGGTTGTATGCGCAGTGGTCGGGTCAAGTTGAGGTGTGGTGTCCAGTAATGGGGAGGCTGACTGGCGGCAACCGCGGCGGGCCGAAATGCGCCAAGTTCGCCTGTTGGACAGCGTCCATCCATGACGCCTACCTAGGTATCCACGAACACAACATTAGCCAGGGACAACCTCGAATGCCTAGCATTTCCAGGGCAACTTCCTAGTCAGGGTCTGATTCGGTGTATTCAGGGTCAGACGATGAGTTCCTCTGCTGGTTCGCCCTCTTCTTCGGACGTTCCACCTATCTTCTTCCATGCCGCGATTTGATTGAAGCTCAAAGGCCACCAATCAAAGGCCATGCGCTTCATGTTCGTCTTCTTTTCTTCTGTCTCCACCCCCGTCATCGTTTCACACCACAGCTTGCGCAATGAATATGCGCCCAGGCTTTTGCACAGTACGTGAGCAAGCATCGCATTGATGCGCGATAGTATGCTGTCATTCGGTGACAATGGGTAAGGACGATGAACGATTAGCCAGGTATGGGGGCCTTGGGGCTCCCAGTCATATCGGACGTTGGCCGGCGATAGCACGACCTGCTTCGGAAGTGCCTCAGATGACTCAAATGGGTACGCAAGCACATTTGAGCCGCCCATGGCGAACACCGGAGTATCATGGATTGCGAGAGTGGATGATGTTTGCTGGCGCGGCGCTGTGTGTGGGTGGTTACAGCTCTATGTTGGTGGCGCGTCGCTTGAGCAGGCACACGAGTACGATGAGATACTGTCCGATGCCTGAAAAAACACAAAGATCTAAGCTTCATCAGCGCATTAGCAGTCAAGTGTGTGCGATGCCCTCTGCGTGACTCTGGTGAAGAGGGAACCATTGGACTGACACACGACGGCTGAGCCTAATCTTCTTACCCATGAACGCATCTACCATATCCTGCTTGCCGCGTCGACTTCGTCGTACATCGCATCTAGTTCACATTTGTCGTCGATATCCAGTACCGAGCATCGCTCATCGACGGGAGTGCCGTACTTGGAGTTCATGGTTCTACAGGTCGTAACGTGGTCATGGACAAGCCAAGCAAGGCATTAAGATAGTGTTAAAGACCAGTTGCCTCCGACCTGTGTTCATTTGTGTACGTTTCGTGCGGCGGCTCTGCATCTAAGTACGGACTGTATGCAGAGTGAGGGCTCAGGTCTTGCTAACCAAGTCACTGATCAGTTCGTGCAATGGGCACATTTCCTTCAGCTTATGGCTAGTACGCGACTAGGGATGCGATATCTCATCATGACTGGCACCTATTGCGCTGCTTCTGTGACGCGCTCTCCGCTGGGCGCTATGGGTACGGAGTAAAATGCTTGGAACTCCACCGGATGATTGATCACAACTCCAATGGAACGAAAGAGGTTATGATAGTGAGATGATGTATAACTATCTGCTGTCAGTGCAAGACCAAAGCAACACGTGTGTCTTATGGGATCTTGTGCACAACACTTCATGGTGGCCGGTTGAACCAGATCTGGCCGTGGCGGTCCTCTAGAACATTCCACCATGGAGATCGCGTTTGCCATGAGGAGAATCCTCAGCGGTTTCGCCACCAGTAAGTAGACTCGTCGCGTTGCGAATGATGTCTGTAGTAGCCATGATCTTCATGAGGGTGATCTCGTCCGTCTTCTGAGTCCAGCCCAACTCAAAAGGAAGACGCTCGTTCTCTGCCCAGTTGTCAGTTACTGCACCACCGCTCCTCGCACACGATTGCGCGTTGCCAAAGAACTTACCGAAGAAGTACTCCATCAACGTGCGGTTGACGGTACCGTCTTCTAATCTGCCAAAGGCAATGATAGGTGCCGAGACTTCACCCAAACTAAACTCCTCGGTGGAAGCAGTAAAGGTGTAGTTTGGGTTGGTTGCACGGCTCTCCAACTGGCGAAATATCTTGGAGTTGGCCAGCATTTCAGGTGTTACGGTCTCATCTGTCCACCACTTTCTTGATGTGTTGTATACAGTCTCATTGAATACATGGTTGTTACCGAAGGCAGCATCAGTACGGGTAAGACTGGCATCGTGCTCAAGAACATTGTGGACGTTGAGCTGCTCTAGAGTGAAGAACGTAGCGTTTGGTTCAGGGTTTGCGATGATGGCTTGCTGCCACATGAGTGCGCCAAGTGAACCATTAAAGTTCAAGCCGTCCTTCAGGCCCTTAACGACGTTCTCCTGGGTGAAGTTGCGGCCATCGCGAGGAAGGAAACCGTGATTTGCTAGAGTGTTGAGCATCGGGCATGGGCCGCGGACTGCGCGTATCAGCTCTGAACCATAGCATGGTCTTTTTGGTGTGTACACTTACAGTCGTTTGTGGAGGCAGGCATCCAAGCGTGTGGATCTGGAGTTGCGGCACCATACTGGGGCCTCGCAGAAGCGAGCGCGGAAGTGCAGGCGGCAAGAACAGCAGTGAGCTTCATCATGAGGTTACCGATGGCGGTGTTCGTGAAATGGTGCTTTGTAGATGAGTTGGGTTGCAGTGGAAGCTGTGGTTGAAGTACGACTGATGAGAGCGGTGCCATCCCTTATATCTTCTCGAAACCTGTTACGTAGACGACTTGTGGCTCCAAAAGTAACAATAAGTATCCACACGTATCCTTACGACATACGCGTAACAGTAGTTGCTAGGTTACAGCACCAGCTTCGCAACGAATACCAGATGATCATTTACAAAGCACCCGTATCCCAGGCGATGCAAGGCGGAAAGGGCTTGCAGCCGCACTTCCGGTGTCGATCCCAGATATGCTTAATCCAACGGTCCCAGAATTATTTGTTTCACAGACACATTTGGCCAATAAGATCTTTTCTAATCGCATAGGACAGCGCGAGGCGACGTCAAGTCTGGGGTACTAGTCGTATATCGGAAAGTGCACGGATCCGGGGCCGTGCATACGACGCCATACGAGAGCTTCGTTCTCGGTGTCGCACTCGCACTCGTACCATCACGCCCTCGGTGGCTCGTTACGCGAGCTGGCTCGCTACGCGCACAAGCAGTCTACAACTTCAGCAATACTATCGACACCTTGAAAAGAATGCCAGAACCGCGCGAAACATGACCACGTTTTTGTTGGCTCCAGAAGTGTGGCTACTACTCGCGACGCTGACATTTGTGGTACTGCTAGCACTGGCAACGTTGGCACTTGTCGTACTGCTAGTACTGGCGGTGTTGGTGCTTGTAATGCTGCTTCCTGAGACAACCGTTCGTGTAGCCTCCTCTTTCCAACCTGCTTCTTGAAATATCTTCAATAATCCCTTTCCACCGCAATATGTCGTCTTGTCTCCAGTGCAGGGAACGTTACAGTCGGTCTGATTCTTCGCCCATTGCCCGATGACGTAAGTGCCACACCAGCATTGATTGCCTTCCTGTACACCCGCGAATCTGTAGGTATCGCGATAGCAGGTGTCTTTGCAATCAGGGATGGTCAAGGATGCGTCTCCATTAGGGCTCATATTTTGGTCGAGAAGTGGGAATGTCGGATCTTCCACATAGCACCCTATGTCGGTCCAAGAAGTAGGAGAAGGAGTGACTGTAGATGAGGTTGCCGTGGTCGTAGTTGTAGAGATTGTTGAAGTCCATTTCGGTGGCTCGGTATCGACCCTCTCCTGCGTGAGAACGCAATATGATTGGAAGTTCCAAGGCTTACAGTCAAGGCCAACCGAAGGGTTCCATTTATGAAATAGCTCAGGACTAATGCCGAACATCTTGCGCGTCTCTTCACACGACAAATCCCAACCACCATCGAACCATTCGACACAGTCTTTGGCGGTCTCTGGATCCCACTGCAGGTTTGGTCGGCGTTCGGAAACGACCAGGCGAACGAGCTCCGCCAGAACGATGAAGGCTGTGAGCTTCATGTTAGACGGTATCGCAACGATGCAGGGTAGTGCGACCGATAGTCGAGATCGTGAAAGAGGTTTGTGTAGTACCACAGCAAGGAGCAGTGCGGGCGAGGAGCGATCGAGTGTATGCTACCGACAAGACTTTTTGGACCTCTTCGAGTACATCATTCGAATGAGCAACGCGATATTAGGTCCTCATACCAGTAATGGAGCTGAGTTTGATAGATCCAGGTCTGGGCCTACTGCGCCGCCTGCGCCGCATGCTCATTGCGCATCGTGAGATCCGAGGCCTGGGATATGCGGGTAAAGACGGTTCGCATACTGCGAAGGAATCGCAGCTTCCATTTCTAGTTCCGCACAGGCGCTATCCGGATCTCCTCATATCGCAAATCCCAACGTGTCACCACGAAGGATCCGGGACGCTTCCGGAAACGGAAGGTGGATACGAACATAGGCTAATCATATGACTCCCTAATTCTTGGCAACCATCCGGGTTCCTGCATTAATTTTTGTTCGCATGCAGGTACAAATCACTCGTTTCGATGCTTCATTACGTATAGTTGTCGCTCGAATCTGTACACACACCAAGTTATCCACGCAACATCACCGTCGTCCGCATTCTTTGCTACGGCATGGCTACATTCCATCTTTTTCCACGACTCCCTGCAGAACTTCGTCTTCGGGTATGGGAGCTGACTGTGGAGCCTCGCACCGTCAAGGTTGGTTTCAAAAGCAGATATGAAGGAGAGCTTTGGCAGACCACAGCCTTATATTCAAAGACGCCCATACCAGCGCCACTTCAGACCTGCCGGGAGTCGCGGAACGCTGGATTATACCAGCGTTGTTTCTCTGAGCTCTGTGTCCTTAACAGCAACAGGAAGAACGCGCAGAAAAAGTACCGCCGTGACGGATATGTGTGGGAAGGGCAATACAGCTATGTCTGGTGCAATCTGGATATCGACATGATTTACATCGACGGTTGGTTGTTTGAAGATTTCGAGAGTATTGCACATCTCATCAAACGACTGAAATTTTGGCGCAACATGGATGAATTTTGGAGGCGTCCGGCTGGCCCTGGCCCTGGTTGTGACGCCCTTCGCTGGTTCAAAAATGTGTCGGAGATTCACGTGGTGCTCGACGAATCGGACGATTTTGCGAGCTGGCATGGGACTTCCTATGAGGATCCCTGGCCTTGTGACAACGTCTTGTTCATAGACGAGAAGGAGGGCGAAGAGATGCGGATGATGGACCTGGAGTACAAATATGATCGTGAGGCCGAAGTATGGGACAGAAAGAAATGGGGCTGGAAACTATTCTATTGCTGTGGAGAGATGCTAAATAACGTCGACGAAGAAGGGGAAGATTGTCGAGCCAGTTTACACCATCGATCGCTGTATTATTACTCCTTATCTTGACAACATGTAGCGACGAAAGAATGGAACAAGGACCTCGGTATCTTTTCAATGCATTAGCAAAATCATTGGCAACCCGCGTCTCCATTTTGAGATCTTTTGCAAGATTCGATCAATGCAACGCAACCTCTCCCATTTTTTGTGCCTTCGGTCATGTGCCTATGAAAATGAACATGGAAATCTTCATGACTCCTGCCCACATTTTTCCCGCCTTGGCGTTCAGCCTCCGCCCGGGTATAACCGTCTAACCCCCCAGTTCACTGTCTCCCAACTTTCCGTCACTCCCAGTACCCTCACCTACATCCTGATCCTCGCAGTCGAGCACGTCTTTGAAACAGTCCCTAACCTTCGAGCGTGCATCCACGATCTCGATCGCGTTGTCAGAACCGATCCACACATACCTCGAACTCTTCACACATTCTAACATGGCCACATTCCACCCATTCCCACGACTGCCGGCCGAACTCCGTGCTCAGATATGGCAAATGACAGTGGAGCCTCGTATAGTTGAAGTGCGCCTCAGGGTCCGGGGGAAATGGGGTGAGAAGACGTTCAACAAGTTGACTTCGCCTACACCTGTACCAGCACCGCTGCAGACATGTCGAGAATCGCGGAACGCTGGACTATACCAGCGTTGTTTCTCAGATATGCCTTGGCGCGGCGGCGCTGCAGAAGACGCAGAACCGCGCTACGTGTGGTTGAACCTGGATATCGACATGGTTTCCATCGGCTGGAGCCAATTCGAAGCCTTCAGGCCTGTTGCGCACCTTATCAAACGCCTGAGATTTACGCGCGACAATACCGATGAGTATTGGGCCCGTGGAGATGAACCCGACGAGCTTTGCCACTACAAAAACGTGTCGGAAATCCATGTGGTGCTTTGCGAAGGCAGCGAATTTGAGGAATGGCAATGGGCTGCGCAGGACTACACCTGGCCTTGCGGGAAGGAGAATGTGTTATTCATAGACTACGAACAGGGACAAGAGATGAAGTTGACAGACCTGGAGAACAAGTATGATCATTTCTGAGAAGCCAGTAGCAGAGAGCAGGATGATCATCCCACCTACTTCCTCCGCCCATGCTTAGCAATCAAACTCCTCGACTCACCACAGAGCCAAATATGCGGACCTGCCTCTCCATCCTTCAATCCATGCTCATTAATAATATTATCAATCTGTTTCGCTCGACCACGGTTCGCGCTCAGCGTCGTGAGGCCCTCAGCCCAGCCGTAAAGGAAGATGGATTGGTTGAGAAGACCAGAGGGACTTTCGAGTTCAGCAGCGACGGTGGCTGCTACGCTGGGGAGACTGGCGATGAGGGTGTCGATGTTGGGGGTCTTGATAACGATGGGGAGGGCCAGATGTGGGTGTGGAGGATAGTCGGAGAGGTTAGACTGATAACGTGTTAGTATCAGGGTTAACAATGGTATAATCATAAAGCTCGGATATACCCACCCATTCTTCCACAAGCCGTTCTCGCGACCACGAGGCGCAGTCGCCTTGTCCTAGCAGTATATCCGCTCTCAGCTTCTCCGTATCAGTAGCCAGAGTTTGCACGATAAGATTCATCTGGTCGGCAGCTTCGCGCGTGCACACCATGGGATGCGCGCCAATAGCAGGATACAGACGTGTTGGCAACAAGTGCTCTACAGCCTCCTCCTCAATCTGAGCGCGCACCTCTCCCGGATACCAGTCGAGTATCGGGCAAGGCTTGTGCGAGATATCCGAGATGAGCGCTAGTAGAATGGTGCAGTCGATATTCAGGGTATCGCTCAGCGCTCGCGATCGATCGATGAGCAGCCGTGGTAGCACGGCGTCTATCGACAGCGCGGGCGGTATGTCTTCTCCGCACTGTACTATCGCGCCCGTCGCGCGTATCTTGTTGATGATCATATCGATAGCTGGTGTTTTACCAGCAGAGATTCGTGTGAGGACGAAATGCACCTTGGGCGGCCGACCACGCACGGGATTTGCGCGCGCAGCTCGCGCAAGCTCGCGAGCATTTCGCACCACGTCGATCTGGTCTTCGTCGTCATCGTCGTCTTCAGGGGGCGCCGGCATGTCCTCGTCGTCCGAGTCGGAGTCGTTCACCCAGCCTAGCTTTGCGAGATCGAATAGAATACGTTTCTCGGAGACGGTTGATACTCTTATCCATTCTGCGCCTTCTTCCGCGACGATGTCGACAAGTGCAGAAGTTTTGCTCTTGCCTTGGCTCCCTTTTGCTAGGCTGACGCCTTTTGTTGTGTTTTTACCGCCGGGGGCTTTGTGTCGGTTCCAGAAGAAGTATTTTCGGAAACTTTGGATTCCTGATGTGCGTTTTGCGGCGGCCCACAGGGCTTCGTAGTAAAGAAGGTTAGAAGATACGATGTAGTGACGGGCCTTCTCTTCATCCATGTTGGAGCCTGCGAGTTTCTTCAGGAAAGCGAGTTCATTGCGCATATCGTTGCGGAGATTTCGGTATCTGCTGTCGTTAGTTGTGCGAACGAGCGTGTTGGTTTGGTACTCTTGTAGTAGATATCGCGGCTAAGCTTACTGGTGGAGCGAATACCAGGGGATCATCCAGGCTATCTTGGATAGCACGATGACTGAACGTACTCGACTGGATTGTAAACTTTTCCAACCTTTTGCTTCTCTAGAACTGCGGCGATGTAGGTTTCCACTTCGTTGTTGAGATGGTTGCCACGTGCCACTAGTCCTTGAATGGTAACTTCGAGTTCAGCCCTAGGGGTAGGCATCTTGTCATTGTCCGTCTTTTCCTCTAGCTTCATGTTACTAAAGTCTTGAGCAACCGAGTCACTCATGGCGCCATTGTTGACGTGGCCATTGTTGGTGTTTTGGTCGGCAGGCACGTCCATCCATTGTGAGATTGAAGGCAGTCCATCAGGCTTCTTGACTAGTGGAGACTCCTTCTGAGCCAACAAGTCAGCCTCCGAATAGGTAGGCCCCCGCATTCTCGCGAGGCAAATGTATCAGATGCGATTGATGTGTTAGGTAGACCAAGGTGTGTTTTGGGGGGTATCGCAGTGGAGTCTGAACTTTTAAAATGAGGCAGTTGAGCCGTGAGTCAACTACCCTGGCTGTGGAAGGTTCGAGGGACCGTTGAACGACGATGAAAGCTGCTGCTTGATAGGTCGGGGGTTGCTTCAGCCCTTTTCCCGGGTACCTGTCGCGCGGTACGGTGCCTAGGTAGGAGTGACGGTTTTGGCCTGGACCGATGTTCTCCCGAGCGACCCCGCCAAAAGTTGCCCGCCTACCGAACCCACAGGGCACCGACCATGCCTCGTCGTCACCTTCACCCTCCCATTACCCCAGACACGCACCCACACCCGCCACGATGCCATACTTCGACACGAGCGCAGAGTGGTACGAGCAGTCGTCGCTCCTCCTCAAAGCGCGACCAACATCCGTATGCCAAGCTCCACCCTGCCGCACGCACGCGACACGGCCCCATCTAACCCATGCCTCCTAGACACGCATCACATCCAAATACTCGGTCCTAAAACCCACATCCTCCAAGATAAAGAAGCGCCAAAAGTACGACGAGAAGAGAGCCGCCCGACCCGCCGACACATCGCGTGCGTCTTCACCACCGCCGCAATCGCAGAACCCCGAGGAAGTCACCGTCTTCTTTACGCTCAAGACGTACGATCCCGAGTCGGGTACATGTCTGCAGTATGAGACGAACAAGGGCGCCGAGGTCGGCCGGCTGATTGGCAATCTGGGGAGATTGGGGAGACACATGGCAGCGCTGCCGGAGACGATGGAGGATTTGAGCATGCCGGCTGGCGGAGAAGGCGCGTCTACACCGCAGGTCGACGAAGGTGGGGACGTCAAGATGGGTGGTGTACCCGCGGCTGGTACGGGCGGCGCGGGAGGCAAGAAGAAGAAGAAGGGAAAGAAATGAGCCGGGACTCGGTGCCATCACACTACCTTACACGCTAGACACCACGGGACCATCGTCGCGACGCGCATAGCACGAGTGCCGCGAGCGGAAACTATGAGACTGATATGGATGTCGGTGGCAATTGAATCGCTGGTATAAAGGCGAGAGTGCATGTTGCGCGTGGCTACGGAATGAAGATACCCAATCCTGCTTCCAGGCTGTCTTTGCTTGATCTCGATTCCATGACACTCTTGCTAACGGTCCAATTATCAATCCTTCAGTGCTGTATGACCTACTTTGCCCGCTCGTCCGCCCTCTGCTTCGCGTTACATTCCTGCGTCTTCTCGCCCTCTGTCTTGCCGACAAGAACCCACTCGTCCTTGTCCTGTTCATCTACGTAGTGCGATGCATTCACGACCTCCCAATTACCGCTGCTGTTAGCCCTCGTTTGATCCATCTCTACTTCCGCTTCTATGTGTAGGCCGGCGTTGCTGGCCCGATGGAGAAAGTCTTCGAGCGGTGACTTTGCACGTCGCACTGTGTTGTTGTCAGTACTGGTGGACATCGTGGTGCCGCTGTGGTTGTGTGTTCTAGCTTCAGGCTGGGATATGGGTCAGGTGGGTGGATAGCTGAGGAATAGGCTAGGTAAATGAGTATATTACAACTTTGATGGTCACAAGTCTGCAGGTATGTGTGTAAGAATGGCTAGCTGACGGTACACAGAGGTATATGTAATCGCCCGTCGTATTTCATCCAGTCATTGCAAAGTAGTCACAGCTCCTCAAACACGGTCGTGAATATCCGGTTCATTCATACAAGACCGCGCGCTTGGTAAGTGAATTGGGCGCTGTTCCCTTGACCCAGCTATGGTGTTTTATACGTGGTGAGTGCATTCGCACGCTATTATCCAACAAATAGTCAGTGAAGTCCGACCGCTATTCACCAAATTGAGATGCCGAGGTTCGTCCAATCCCTCGTAGCTATGCATCTATCTTACACTAACCCGATGCAGCCTAGGCTAATCACTCTATCACGACCTCTACGGCTCTTAGAAGTGCTACCAAACGAAGCGCGACCAAGACTTGACACTGCAGACAAACACCGAGCCATGAAACTCGACGGTGCGGTGTTTACTTGGCAAGGCAATCGCGTGCCTCATTTGACGATGCCTATTCGACGGATTAATTACATTGCTGTTCAATCGTACCAAGCCATTCGTGGTAGCAGGCAAGCGAGGACCCGCTTTTCTTCGTGCTTCCATTCGTGGATGGAAGCGCAGCTGCCTAAGCGTGTTCGATTACTACTGCATCACATTGCTGTTTCCGGTTTGGATATAGCCTTGGCTGTGGCGCGACATCACATGAACAAGGGGCAGACAGTCGCGAGATGGCTTCCTCGACCCTCAAGCTACGGCTTCATCTCCTTGGAGCCGTACAAAGACCATAAAAGACTATGGGTGACCTTTTCGACCGCAACCCAAATAACGGGTTTCCTGATTGGTACCAGCTGGTCTGCCCGGAGCTCAATGAAGCTATTCATATTGGACAGCGCAATGATTACAACTGCGACACGGCCTCGCTTCTTAAGGAAAAGAACGAAGACTGGTTCTACTACGCGTTTGTCAAGCCTTTGTCGGATGCGCAGCGTGTTCAACACTTCTATCCTCCTAGTGGGGACCTTTTCGAACGTCTTCCAAACGAGATCCTTGATCAGATCCTCGATCACGTATTGCCACTGGACAGCTTCGACCGCCGTCGCGGACTCAAACACCTCGACTGGGGCCGCAATCCCAGTCCGAAATACGTCGACGAGATCCGTAACGCCCAAGCCACCCTCGATCACATCGCTGAGCTCTCTCTCAACTTCCTCGCGCTAGGCCTTTCTTCTGCTCGTATATGGCCGCTCGTGTTGAGCCGCATTCACCGTCTCTATCGGGAGAATTGGGTAGGCAGGAAGGTTGGTTTCCACCACGTCAAGGCGAGATTCACCAGCGAGCAGTGTCAGAACTATGGTATCGAAGAAACGTTCGAGACGCCCCTTGCTTCAGTTGACGATTGGAAATGGGACTGGACATGGCATGATCAAGATGAAAGATGGCTAGCTCTCACTTCTTGGAAGGACTGTCCTTCAGCTTCAGACCAGCAGGCCTTTAAAATGTGGATTTACGACCTAAAGAACAGACCGGACGACCTGGAAAATATCAAGCAGGATCTGATGCTGCGTCCCAAACCAGGTGCGTATTCTAGGCGGAGAGTATGGGTGCTTCGCAACCTGACCACCAGACAATACGTGCGCTCGGATCAGTTGCAAGAAGAGCCTGATTCTGATCCGGCACCTGACTGGGGCGACGACCCTAGGTCCTATGAGCTGTTATCCGATAGGATGAAAAGAGTCGGGAAAACCTTCACAAAACGCGTGCTCTACAGACCAACGAAAAAGGAAAACAAACACACGACGGACCCAAAGACGGACGAGCAGTTTACCCTGGCCAACATCTTCCTCGTTCTCACTTGTAGCGGTGGTAACAGAGCGCCTTCTGCGACTACTACTACTACTACTCCAGAGGACCCACACTCGCCGGACAAGTATCTAGAATTCGTACATGGTCCTTGGTCTGGCTGCGCATTCGAAGTAATTACGCTGGACGAACACGTCCTCACTCAGCAGCAGCAGCAATCGCCCTCACCACCAGAGTCAAATGCACAACAGCCAAATAATGTGTGGGTGGATGTGAGCAAGGAAGTGGTTGCTGATATCGCCAACCTGCGCTTCTGCATCCAGAGGATGAGGGATATGCGCAACTCTAGCCATAAATTATATGTATCGCGTGATAATAAGACGGCGTATACGGTGTACTGGGACGACTTTTGGGCCAAGGTCGCGAGCACGAGGAAGCTGCATCGGCAGTGGGCGGTAAAGACATGTCCGCCTCGTCCGTGGATAGACGAGAGTATGTATGAATCAATATAAAGACGTTCTCGCGTGAATGTTATCTCTCTCTCTAACCTAGAAAGTCCGGTTCTTTACCAAAACAATTCTTTGCTCCCACCTTTTGCGATTTCCACTTCAGCTCCAGCTCACCCTTGTCTCATATCCCCGGTAGTTTCAGCATAAACCCCCCTCTCAATCCTGCGGTAGTCACAAAATCTTGTTTGAAATCTCATATCGTCTTTAGCATCTCACTTGGAGTTAATTTCTGAAGCGGCTACTAATCGCACTGCCATGTCATCTTCCCTTACTACTACATGCCATGAAACATGGTCAACCCAACAATCCCATCAATATCAACAACAACACCGCTACGCCAAACCCCTCCTCGGCGCCTTACCCGAGTAACCAGCTGCACAATCGCCAAAGACATGTTCAAACTTTCCATCCAGCTTAACAGGACCCTGAAGACTCTGCTCGCAACCCAGCACAGTAATGTTCTTCACAACAACCTCAGTCTGGTATCCAAACTCACCGCTCATGCTGAATGCGCCATTGTCGTACGTAAAAGAGATCATGGACACGGCCGGCTGCTCAATGCTATCACCATCATCGAGGTACAGCGATCCCTCAGCTTGATTCGTCGCATTGGGCGCGATCCACAGTACGAAATCCTTCTTCCTGAGCTCCGTGGTTGTGTTTGCGGATTCGGCGCGGAGAGGCAAGATGGATCCGCCGCGGATGTGCAGGGGAATGGTGTCGAAACCGACGTCTGTGAGGTTGATCATCGAGCCGTGACCTTGGATGCGCTCGCCGGTCCAGTAGTCGTAGAAGATTTCGTTGGGCAGGTAGATGGACACGGAGGTCGAGTTTTCTTCCAATACAGGAGAGACGAGAATGGCGTCGCCGTAGAAGAATTGGTGCTCGATGGCGAAGGTGTTGGCGTCAGAGGGGTAGTGGAACCACAGGGGGTTCAGACTGGGTACACCCGTGGTGGTCTGGCGGTGGAACGCAGTGTAGAAGTAGTCGAGTAGTCTGTAGCGTACTGCAATAGCATTCCTGGCTGCGGCTGTGGTTAATGGCCAGCGGTAGTATTCTTGGTCAATTGACGTGTCGCCAGCGTGGTTTCGCATGAAGGGGTAGAAGGCACCAAGTGTTGCCCAACGTGCACAGAGGGTTTCCGTGGTGTTACCGGCAAAACCGCAGATATCGGGGCCGACCATGGGAATCTGGTAGATGGAGTTGAAGTTTAAGATGCCGGCGATTGAAAAGCGGTATTGCGCCCATTCCGAGACGTTGTCGCCGAGCCATTTTCCTAGGTATGTGCCAAGACCGACGAACTGGATCTCTTGTTAGCTACATAGCGTCTGGTGATATGCTGAGAACTTACAGTAGAGCGGGTGATGATCAATGGACGGCGCTCGGGACGGCGCATAAGCATACTCTTGTGCGAAGCAATCGACATCATCGAACCCCAGAAGTTGTGGGTGTCGTAGTGGTACGTTCCGTCGTAGTTCTGGATATCAGTATCGAGCGTCTTGTTGCTGATAGATCCAGCGGCGTTCGCAATCTGGTACTCCGGGTTGATCAAGTCGCGGCCAGGAAGACCGGGGTGTGCAGCAAGGTCAGCAGTGTTGTTGGAAGCTTGACGCTTGACGTTGGAAAGCTTCTTGAGCTGAGCGCTTGATCGGCGAACCGCGCTAGAGTTGGATTGAGGCTGGAAGTCTGCTGGGAAGCCAGGGATCTGGCGACCGTCAGCGGAGGTGCGGACTGGTGGTGGCTTGGGAGGGTTCTTGGACTCCTCAGAATAGGCCTCGGGGTCGAGGCAAGGGTACGGGCAGAAGTTTGCAGGCTCGTTCATGTCGTTCCAGAGGCCATCGATGTCAACACCAGTTGCCGGGTCGAAGAACGAAGCGAACTGCTCGTCCCAGTACTGCTGTGTGTTGGGGTGGAACCAGTCAGGGAATACCGTGGGACCTGGCCAGACAGCACCCTCAAAGAAAGAGCCGTTAGGACGCTTTTGAAACACGTCAAGCGCAGCTCCGTTGTTGTAGCCGTCGTAGTCACCACTCCAGACAGCGGAGTTGACCATCATGATGTAGTGCTGCTGGTGAGCGTGGATGTAATCAACGAGTTGGCGGACAAGGTCAAGCGGGTAACGCTCTGGATCCAGGGTGAACAGGCGGCGGAGCTCCATGTAGTCAATATCCGTCCACATGGTCTAGATAATGTCAGCAAAAATATAAAATGGCGATTCGGCAATTCAGAACTCACCTCTAGAGGTATGTCCGCAGCAGAGTAGTTGGCAACAACCTCGGCAACTTGCCAGACATCACGGTAACCGTACTTGCACTGGTGGGAACCAAAACCCCAGTACGGCATCATGGCAGGAAGGCCGGAAAGAGCGGAGTACTGGGTTGCGACTTCCTTTGGTCCAGGACCAGCAAGGAAGTAGAAATCAAGGATACCACCAAGGGTGTTGTACTCGAGGTACTGACCCTCGGAGTCGTCGATCTTGATGTCCATGCCCTCGGAGCTGGCCAAGAAGACACCATGGGTTCCGTTCTCACCGCGGTGATCGAAGTAAATTGGGTGAGCTCCGTAAAGGTTGGACCCTTCTGGGGTGCCGTAGGCATCTCGGTTCCAGAGAGTACGGGTGTAGTTGGTGGTGTTTAGGTGGAACGGATCTGTCGATTCACCAAGACCGTATAGGTTTGGAGAAGGAGGCAGAGCGGTCCTCAGACGGAGGAACTGTGACTCAAAGACAAGAGATGCAGCCGACGTGTCGAAGAGGGTCTCGTTGGTCTCCCTACGCGTGATGGCGAACGAGAAAGGGCTGTCGGTCCAGGTGAATGCCAGAGCAGAGTCTTCCGGGCTGACACCCTCACTGCCGGAAGGACGCGGCCAGACAGACTCTTGGATCTGGAAGACCTGTTCGGCGGCGTCGAAGATCTTGACATGGAGTCGGTCGGCTGTGGACTGTTAGCATAGAGCCGATGAATAGCGAAGCCAACGCAACGTACCAGTCTGATACTCGACTTCCAACTTCAGGTCAGTCAAGTCCTCGCCATGAACATTGCAAGCGGCGCCTGCGAGGCTGAGGTCTGCGGTGACCCTGGAGCCATCATCTTGGAGATTGCTGGCGGTATATCCGGGGCATCCCTCAAGCGACGAGCTCTGTCGTTGAACAAGCGAACCCGCAAGTGCGGGTACCGCTGTTCCAAGAGCTAAAAGTCCTTTGGTGATCATGGTGCCTGATGGAATTGAAAAGAGCAGGACCTTGGTAGGATGCTGATCCGTCGAGGGAGCGATGTCCTTCTTATACACAAACCTATGCAGCCCGTGTACGCTAGTCTGTGGCACTACAACAACAAGGCATGCATCGTGATCTCGGTTCGGACTTACCGTTTACATAACTAGAGTAGGCGGATATGCACCCAAGACGCGCTCCCCCGCAGTACCGTCATAGAGGAGGTCGCTCTTGCATGGCTTGGCAACGATGCGAGAGCCATAGATGGAGCGAGGCGGGGTCATTGGTTCCGCAGGGGGACACTATAATTGCTTGATTTCCCGGAGACCTTCCGGTTTGGGGCTGAAAATGGTGAGAGGCGAAAAAGTCTGGGATAAATGATCCAGTTTGTTTACTCGGATGCGAACCGCGATGCAAGCGCGTGGGCGTTGATTCGTTGAATGTCGGGAGTGGGAGATGCCGGTCCGACTTCGCATGCCGACGCGCCCTCGTGCCTCCGCTCGCCAAGAGGACGGCTGGAGATGCGAAAACTAGAGTTTGGTGGCATGGAACGAGTGGCCGGACCGAGACGTCAAATCTTCGGAGCAAGTAATGTGACTTGGACAGTCGAACAGCTATGGCTTCCAGAATCATGCCTGTCGGCACAAATAAACGAAAAGCCTGGGTTAGCACATGCACTGACGGCTGCTAAATGGTTGGCTTTGAGCAAGTAGAACCACAGACATAAGACAAGACGCAACATGCTAGCCTTCACAGAACGAAGACTCTCGATGATGGGAAAGAGAGCTTCTACCTAGTCCCTCGTGGAGCATCTTGGACGTGGACGCGCACGGTCCAAACTACTAGCGCGCTTCAATCCCAAGACCGAAAAGTTAACGAACGCGACAGCATCAACCACCAACACGCTAATCCCGCAACCATGCTCTGCGCAATCTCTGGCGAAGCTCCCCGCGAACCCGTTGCCTCGCGCAAATCGGGCAACGTCTTCGAAAAGCGCCTCATCGAAGCCCACATCTCAGAACACCACACCGACCCCGTTACTGGCGAGGATCTCGCGACGGAGGACCTCATCGAGCTCAAGTCGCCCAATGTCGTCACTCCGCGCGCGCCCAACTTCACCTCGATACCGGCCATGCTCAGCGCCTTCCAGAACGAGTGGGATGCGCTGGTTCTGGAGACGCATACGCTCAAGCAGCACTTGGCGCAAACGAGGCAGGAGCTGAGTACTGCGCTGTACCAGAACGATGCGGCGACGAGGGTCATCGCGCGGATATCCAAGGAGAGAGACGAGGCGCGCGAGGCATTGTCCAACGTCACCATCAGTGGAGGCGGCCAGGGCGATGCCATGCAGGTGGACGGCCAGGGCCTGCCTCAGCAGCTTGTAGCTCTTGTGGAAGAGACACAGCAAGAGTGAGTTCCCTTGCAGTCGAATGACGCCATCAACATGAGCTAACATACACAGACTCTTCGGCACCCGACGAAAGCGACCTGTGCCGGCAGACTGGACCTCTGGGGACGCCATTTCCAACTACGACGTTGCCAAGACGACCGAATCTCTATACCCAGGCAGCACCAAGATTGCGGTCAACGAGGCACAGAATGTGCTGTTCGGTGGAGCGGATGGCACCACGGGCGTCTACTCACTGACCCAGGGCAAGGTCCTGGAGACATTCAATGCAGGCAGCGCAGTCACATCGGTGGCATGGTGGGGAGAGCGCGCGCTTGTTGGAACATCGGCAGGCACAGTCAAGGTGTTCTCCAACGGGGATGACGTTGCGCAAATAGCTTCTCACGCCGGAGCTGTCACGTCCATGTCCGTACATCCCAGCGGCAAGATGCTCGCAACCGCCGGCGCCGACAAGCGATACGCCATCCACGAACTTACAACCTTCAAGACGGTCTCGCAAGTCTACGTCGAAGCCGAGATCACATGCGTCTCGTTCCACGTAGACGGCATGCTTTTCTTCATCGGAAGCTCCGACGGCAACATCCGCATCTACGACATCAAGACTGGCACACAAATGGCCGAACTCGCAACTTCGGCTCCCGTCGTCGATCTCAAGTTTTCTGAAAACGGAACTTGGTTCGCCGTCGTACAGGAAAACTCGTCCAGTGTCGCGATTTGGGACATCAGGAAGCAGGCTGCCATCCACACGCTTGAATCTGGCAGCCCGGTTAATAGCGTTAGCTGGGATTACACCGGCCAGTTCTTGGCAATTGGTGGAACTGGCAGTGTTTCGGTGCAGCAGTACACCAAGGCGACGAAGAGCTGGGCTGAGCTCGTCAGGAAGGCGGCGCCGGCAAAGGATGTCGCTTGGGGTGGCAGGGCCGAGAATGTTGTGGCGCTGACTACCGAGGGTGGTTTGGCAGTGCTGACAGCGCCTTAGCCAGAGAATCGGTCTGAAGGTATACTCCATCACTTTTAATAGTCTTCCGTTAGCGGGAACTTGATCGACTACCTCGAGGGTATTCCATGATGTGTGGGGCAATCTAGAAGCTATGCGCATGCATTTGAGGACGTTGCTAGTGCATGAAGGGCGATATGGCGTAAATTGGTTTGTAGCATTACTGTAGACGACGGGAAAATCGGGTCGTCTCCGAGACCATCAATCTAAATATCATGTTTCCATATGCTGAAAAACACTACGTCACGATCCATCTCACATGTGCAAGCGAGGCAATTGCGATGGCGTCAGGAGCAATCAAGTCGCAGAAGATGCGAGAAGAGTGTCGAAGAATAGTCGGTGACTGATTTGTGCGGGTATACGGTGAGGTGAAAGGGTTGAGAGGATTGACGTTGGATGGTTTGTCATGTTGCACAGATGTCCAATCTTCCCAGCGCCACCACAGTTTCGCCGAAGTCAGCACCCCAACGGCACCAGACGGGCCCAACCCTCGCTCAACCTCAGCTCGGTGCTGTCGATTCCGACTGCGACTCCACCCACATCCACCCACGGCCGCACACTCTCCCTCACATCCGGCATGGACGGAGAAGCACTGCCTTTTGGGTATACGCACAGACAGCAGAAGGTGAGTGCCGCTGGCGGTTGTACCCAGCGAGTGAGCGGAGAATAGGCGCTGATAGAGAACGTCACGTAGCGCTCACATGCCCAAATGGACCAAGAGGAAGCTTCTGGCCCGCATGCCTTTTTCGAATACGACCCTTTTGGCAATAGGAACAACCGCGAAGCTCCACCGCCAACCTACCACATTGACGACGACGATGACGATGACGACAGACAACATATTCCAGGAAACGGAAACTACTACGAGCCTCCCACACGCTACCATTTCGGCCTCGAAGCAGCACCCCATTTCGGCCGCGAAGCAACACCAAGCTTTGAGTCGGCATTACGATCGCATGCCCGGCCGCCCCTTGAGCGCGCCGATTCCAGCGCCAGTGCCGAACACTCACGTACTGCCGGCCTGTACCTCCCGCGCGTCCAACACATGGCGTCTTCAGCAACACGGCGGTTTGCAGGGGATGGCTTCGATTACAGGCGGCCCGCTGGCTCGGCACAGCAGTCGCAAGCAACAGCATCGGTGGACTTGACAGGGGATGATGACATGGACGAGGACGACACCATCCATGTGAGGCAGGACGACACCATCCATGTGAGGCAGGACAACAACGTCATCGATCTCACGGCTGATGATTCGGGTTACGGTGCAAGCCACGACGGCCAAATACCTCACCAAGCGCGAGAACCACGACGGGAGAGGGAGAGGCAAAGAGAACAGCAAGAGTCGCATAGCCATCGTAATCGCCGACACGCGCCTCGCTTACCGCGGGGGATGGACATCATCATCGACCTGGACAACGGGGACGAAGAGTGGAATGTCGATGCACCAGCACCAGGACAAGCGCCGAGTTCACCAGAGATTGAATTCATATCCTCCCGCACCATACCGGGTGGCCGCCGCCCCCATGGCTCTCTCTCTCCCCTGCCCAACGGCCTCCCCCGCGACAACTCAGATGGCGACGAAGAGGTGGAATTCCTCCGCGCAAACGCCCTCCCCGAGCACGAACAACGCCGTCGCCAAGCAAACGAGCAAATGGACAATGTCCTCGACCTCTTCACACTAAACGGGCGCTTCACACACCTCCGCGCACAGATCGAACGGTTTCACGACCAGGTCAATCGGACGAGAACGCAGTTTGGGAACCAACAGGAGCCAGTGGCGCCTTCGAGGAGCGCGTCGAGGGGACGTGCACCACATATTAGAGTCGGAGTTGGCGCTTTCATGGCGCCCGTCATGGACTTTGAGATGGTGGGTTTCGAAATTGGTCCCCGTGGGGGCAGGGAGGCACCGCCTCCACCGCCAACGTATACTGCGCCGCCAAAGGCACCTGAGGGTTTTACGAGGAGTCCCGAAGAGGACGGGGGTGCGCTGGTGTGTCCCAATTGCGAGGACGAGCTGTGTGTTGGGGGAGACGAGACAAAGAGGCAGGTGTGGATTGTCAAGGGATGCGGCCACGTAAGTTCAATACGACGGAGATGGAGAGAACAGCCAACTGATGATTACTCAGGTTTACTGCGGTGAATGCACGACCAACCGATCGTTGAAGCGCAGCGCAAAGGGCAAGGAGAGACCGGCGAATACGCTTCCTTTCAAGACTTGCGTAGTTGATGGCTGCGACAAGAATGTGACGAACAAGAAGAGCATGATTCAGGTCTTCTTGTAACTGGGGAAGCTTCATTGCAACTCCAGAGGCGGATACCTTTGACGAACCTTCTCATCTCTCCTATCTCGGCTCAGTCATGGTTGGGTGTTTTGACGATACCCTTGCTTGCATCATCTCAGTTTGCGCAATCATCATATCTAACTCGCATTTGTTGCATTTGCATAGCACGGCGTTCCTTTTTTTTTTACTTTTTTTTCGGTGAATGTTCATAGGTGGTCTGCTTCCTCTAGGATGCTGGTTATCCCCAATGAAAGAGAAGAAAAAGGGCGGGGTTGGATATGGAAGGTCTAACTACTGTACAATGAAAGATGCAAAGCCGCGGCTTGATGGGCTTGCATGGGCTTCGGAAAACATTGAGAGTGTGAGAGAGGCGGTAGGGAGGTTGGGGGATGTCTCGGTTCATTGCCATTCTTTCGTAGTCTAGTATGCATTTGAACATGATCACCGTCTGTCCATTGATTATCACAGCTTGAATACAAGAAAGACGAGGTGTTTGGGAAGTGCGTCTGCATTGAGCTTGTTCTACCAAGTCATTCGACTGCTTCGCCGTTGCCCTGTTGTGTCTCAACACGACTCACTTCCCGTAGTGATTGTCATGACGATGTCTAGACGAGTGACTCATATGTTTGATCTGGTTTGATTTGTTTTAATCCCAAGCAGCGTTTACAGCTTAGATGATGAGAATCCGATGATCGCACCCCTGGAAATCTACGAGAAGATTGACGTATGATGATCTCATCCCACATGGCACAAGCCGGCATCAGCCGCGCCAAGACGTCAGGGTCTCTCAGGTACGCGAGCCGAGGCCATACGAGAAATGCCAGCTTGCATGCCCATCAGCGAGCCTCAGGTACACACACACACCGTCGTCACCTCGTCATTACCTCCGAGGCTGCATCTCGCTCCTTCCATTCTCGAACGAATCCACTCACTGCAATCGAGTCTGCAGCACACACACACACACAAAACAATGTCCGCCAAATCTACACCAGCAAAGGCCGCCAGCGCGCCAAATGACCAGCGACCCGCCAAACAATCCGGGGCGAAGAACGCATACCTTCTCGCCTATAATGCCGCCTCTGCAGCACTGTGGGCAGGCGTGCTGTACCAGACCGTGACGATCGGTGCGAACGAAGTGGTCAATGCACAAAAGGCCGGCGCGTTCTTTGGCAGCGACGACTGGTTCACCGCAACGCGACGGGGACTGGCGAGCGGGAAGGTGTATGATGGTCTCGAGGGATACACGAGGACTGTACAGACGCTCGCTGGATTGGAAGTCTTGCACAGTCTAGTTGGTACGTGTTGTCATCTATCTCCCATTTAACATATCTCTTCTTCTCTCGTTTTACACCATAAAGATGAGATTTTGACGACCAGCTAACAACTACAATTACAGGCCTCGTTCGCGCCCCGCTCCTAACAACCCTCATGCAAGTAGCCTCCCGCTTCCTGCTCGTACACCTCATCGCCTCGCCTCCTGCGTTCCCTCTATCTACACGCCACTCCCCCGCCTACGCTACCATGCTGCTTGCCTGGAGCGTAACAGAAGTAATACGCTACTCGTACTTTGTCTTCTCGCTGTCTGGACTTGGAGTGCCCAAGCTGTGGACTTGGCTACGGTACAACACTTTCTTGGTTCTGTATCCGTTGGGTATTGCGAGTGAGTGCTGGTTGGTGTATAGCGCGATTCCGCTGGCGAAGGAGAGGAATGAGATGTTTGCTTATGCGCTTTGGGCGATACTGGCGGTTTATGTGCCGGGGTCGTATATCTTGTTTAGCCATATGTTGGCGCAGAGGAGGAAGATTGCGAGGCAGAATAAGAGGGTGTGATTAGCGTTTTGGAAGAGCGGGTCATGGTGGGATGGGAGAGAAGTGTGTGTGTATGTGTGTGAGAGGTGTGTAGGACAGCAGTCGTATGTATGACCAAGAAAACAGTTAAACATGTGACGTGACCGTTGTCCTTTTAGAATTGACGGACAAATATGTCTCTCTGCACAGCTTGTTCTACTACTCCTTACCCCCTTCCTTCGGCCCCGTCTGCGCATTCCTCTCTCCAACGTCCAGCGCGACTAGAAATCTCGACACGCAATTATACGCGGCAATCGTCGCCGTAATCTCTACAACCTCCTTGTCGCTGAACCCCGCTTCCTTGAGCTTCTCAAACACAGCATCCGGGACACGCACATCCAGCGTCATGGCGTCTGTGTAGGCTAGCACGGCCGAGAGTCGAGGTCCAAGGATTTCGTCCAGCGGTTCTCGGGCAGCAGACTCGAGGACGGCGCGGACTTGGTCTTGCGTGACGTCTGTTGCGGATTCTAGGATCGGCGAGTGCGATTCCCATTCATACCATGCTTTGTTTAGGACGGCGACGCGGCATATGGCTGTTTCGCGGATGGCGGTTTGAAGACTGGTTTTGGTGCGGATGGAACCTAGGAATGAGTTCCTGTTTTGTTTGTGAAAAGACACGTTGTTAGTCAGGACTTTGCTCTTGCTATTCGGTGAGGTGTTATGGTTTACCATCCATCGGCGACCGGAGGAGCATGAAGTAATGTTCTGTCCAGAGCTATGAGACCCTTTTCGCCTCGACGTTGTCTCACGCGCTGCTCGACAGCTTTGTTGTTACAAGGTAACAAGGAGTTGCTTCCTTTTGTTATGCAGGCCGCAGGAAGGAAGACCATCGGGATAGCCGCGATGGAAGGT